GGGGGGGGGGGGTAAGGTCCTTAAAATGGCCTGCAGCCCAAGGGTGGGCCAGCCCCGGACCTTGTACCCCTTCAGTTTGTAGATAATGACAGTTCAAAAGGTCAAAGGGCATGCACCAGCAGTCATCATGCGATTACAGTTCACAGGAAGCACTTTTTGTTGCTTTTTTTTTTCTTGGTTGTTTTACTGACATTTATGTAAAAAAAAGGAAAAAAAAAAGAATCATCATGCCTTAGTCTAGTTGATATTTTTCTTTACAAATGTTATAAAACTACAAGTTGAACTCCTCTTTTTTTTCTCCTCTGTCTCTGTTTTCTTTCGTGGTGCTCCATGGTCACACGTTGAGGATGATTCTGTGTTTGTCATTTTGTAGTTTGCACTTCTTAGTCTTTGTCTTACTCTTACTCTCCTTCCTTGCTCATTTTCCTCTGCGGTCTGGTTGTGTTTTTGTGGAGGATGATTTGGCAGTGGCTTTCCGGTCCTGGAAAACAGAGGGACACACAAAACACAAACTAAATTACATTGGCCTTCCAAAACAAAAAAATGATCAAAGTGTACTGAATGCCAAATCTAGGGGTTCTAATTTTGAACATAAATGGAACAGAACAGCATGTGAGAGACTATTGAGGTCTAACAGAGTCCAATATGTTGCCATACAGGCTGCTATTCAAGCACTGGGATGCACAAGTGCTTAGATGTGTGTCCCGTACCTGGAGGACTGGGCAGTATGTGTATTTCAGTGTTTAACTCTCCGCAGACTGGTGCGCTGCACTGACTGAGCACCCTTTCTCACATCCACCCCCACCTGGAGCAAGGAGGGAGGGAGGAGGGGAGGAAACAACACTCGGACCAGTTAGCTGCTGAAGACTCTACATATAACCAGAGCAGGAAACTAACTTGTCTGTCCACCGGCCAGCCGACTGTGGCTCACTTCAATATCCCAAAATTCACCAGCTGTCGCTACTTTACATTTAGAAATTCATCAGCCAATCAGTTTGGAAGAGATCATGTCCAAAACACATCAAGCACAGTTTAATATATGAAATCAGTTTACAAATGTACTTTTTTTGTACAAGGATGACAATGATGATGAAAGGTGGTAATGTGTCACTTTTCTACAAACGCTCATTTTGTACAACTAGTTTTTGCAGTTTGTTAATATACAGAACTTTAATTTCTTCACTTTTTGAATCACAGTTGGTTTGTTGTTAAATGTGCTGATAGGGACAAAATCCTTCTAACCAACATTTGGCTGGTGGCTACTGTTAATTTCCCACCCATTGTGCCAGGCCATGTGACTGATTCACAGGAAAATGCTGTGTGCTCGGGTTTCGCAGTGTTTGCGTGTGAATATGACTCAGTGTTAATGATGAAAACGCGACTGACTCACCTTTCGAGCGAGCACGTTTGAGTGTTCAGAAACATACTGCGCCTCAGCAGCATAGTCCTCTTTCTCCTCTCTCTGTATAAAAATAACACAATTTACATATAATTAGCAGTTCATAGCAGTCATACTCTCACAACAACAACAAATAGTTTGCAATCAGGAATGTAAAACAAAACCAAAACGTATCGGACATGGCAGATATTTCCCATGTGTTGCACCACACAACACATTACTCTGGTCAGGTTCTGTGACTTCATCAAAATAATCCATTTTGATGATTGTTGAGTTTTTAAGTGAGACTAAAAATTGTTAATGGCCGCGGGCAAAAAACAAAACAAATTAAATGACCGTCTTTCCATCTGATAATTCCCAAAAAATAAAGGGATGGACAAAGATGTTCCCCCTCCAGGCGCAGGAAGCGGCGGGTGGTCGGCGTTGCAACCTGACCTGTCCCCGCACCGGCTCCTGCTCCCAAGCACGTTGGCTCGCCTCCTGGTGAGAGTAGCCCAGCCCCCTGTCAAAGGGCTGCGTGCCCTGCAGGAAGCGCCCACGCAGCACATGAGAGTAACCCGTGTCACACACCGGTGTCAGCAGAGCCTCCTGGGCCACGCGCAAGCCTGGCACGTCACGTCCTGATGACACCGAGCCCACCCAGCCCTGCAGGGAGTCCTTGTCTGGTAAGTAGGGTTGAAATGCTCCGCCTCCCAGCACTCTGTAGAGCAAAACGTGAATAAAGCAAAGGCAGAGAGGAAGAAATAAAAGAAAAACAAAGTGATGTAGGGGATATAATGCCATCTTGAGTACAAACAGTGGAAAACAACGTAGTCAGTTTGACTTGAGTTGAAGGCGTCGTACCGGTTATCTCCATTGTGCTCCGCAGCCCGACTCAGTCCCGACGTCTCACACCGCTGGGCATACACCTGCTGGCCTGCAACAACAGAAATCCCTTCCACTGAACCCAGCCCTACACCTCCACCTCCCCCTTTTGCTCCTCCTCCTGTTGCGAGGGCCTCCCCTCTCCTCCCATCCGACCTCTGACCTCCCAGCTGGCCGTTTAGGTTGACCTTGGGGACGGCACCACTGGCCCTCACCCTGTCCCTGTCTGCCAGTGCAGTTGCTGGCTCCTGTGGTGCCTCCTCCTCCTCAACCTCCCCTTCCTCCTCCTCCTCCTCTTCCTCTTCCTCCAGCTCCATGATGGAGCCGCTGGCCCCGCTGGCCCCGCTGCTCGGGCGACCCAAGCTGCAGGGAAGGGAGAGCGTGGCGCCCTCTGAGTCGTCAGCCCGACTGCTGCCATCGAGTGACGAGTCCTCCACTGTAACCAGCGAGGGACTGACCCCTGCTGGCCACACCTGAACGTCCGACATCTCCATTAATGTATCTTCCTCGGTGGTGGCGATGGGGGCGCACTCGAGGCTGGAAACTTCCTGCCAGTAGGGCTCCGCGCCAAGCGGAGAGGGCAAGCTGTACTGCATGGAGGCCGGGGACAGCAGCTCCTCCTGCACCAGCCCATAACCTGGAGGGAAGACAGGGGCGAGACAAGAGAAAGACTAACACCACGCAGGCACAGCCAGTGGGAGGATGGGGAGGTGGTGAATCGACTGTTTCTCCAACCTATGAGGAAACAGTGGGGCTCAGCCCTGTCCCAATATACCAGGAAAGGGACTAGAGTCCATCATTGTAGAGCCACAGATTTAGGATTATCATATCCTTCAATCCCTTTCATTTGAGGTGAAAAGGAAGATATATTGATCCTGAATCCTGAACATACTGTAATAAATCCCAGCCAGTATGTTTTATACTACTTTAAGTACTTTCTTTCTCAAATCAGCTTCCTTTATCTTTCTAATGTTGTTGTCTAATTGATGTATGAATATTTGGAATGATTTACTTCTGGTTTTGGGTTTGATCCAAGGCGCTTTAGGTTTTTGTCATTGGGACACGGCAATAAAAGTAAAGTGGGGGTCAAAAGGATTTGGTGTTTCATCCATTGTCTGTGAGGTGAATGGTGCAGGGCTCTAGTTTGCTACCATGTAAGAAAGTGAATCTGCAGAACATACACTGTGTTCCTTGATAAGTGGAAAAAAGGTGAGTCTAGAGTTATACAGTATGCTGATTATAGGGTTGGCACGATATATACAGTATTTGTAACATTAGTAACATCTGAGAAAAGTATTCCAATTGGATTTTAGTATCCTGATTGCAACTGGAGGTCATTAAGAGGCAAACATGTCCATAAAATTTGTTGTATCTATAGCCAATAATGAAATTATAATATTTTAAGAAAGGACTGTACATTTGAAAGCTGGCCTTCTCAGATATGTGTTAAATTTCTTTTTAAATTTGTTCTTTAGATGTGGGTTGACCAACTTGTGCGGAGGCTACTTTTCCATAAACGTTCTATTCTACACTGCTGATTAGAAGAAGTGTTTTTTTCTGCAATATCCCAGCAGCTGTGACACAAAAACAAAAGCTTTGATAAAACGTTTCTATTATCGTTCCAACCCATGTTACACATTACTGAGTGGGAGTCAGCAGCATCTTGCAGATTCTGCACAGGAAATTGCAAGTTACTGTTGCTCTTGCATTCTCCTGTAGTTACACATCAGAGTCATGCATTTGCCTGCACCCCAAGTATTCAAATAAAGGTCATTCTACAGACACACACTCACACATACATAAACACACATTAATGCAAACACACATTAGACAAAGCTATTATGTTTAAAGACTTTTTTCTAATTGACTGAGCCTGCCTATTTACAGTACTGAGCTATATTTTACTCTAAACCAATGGGGTCATTTTTAAAATGTATAATTAATCAGCTGGTTGAAGTTGCATATATTCTGCTAAGTCTCCCAATATTCAGGCAGACTTAATTGATGTACTGGTTGCAAATTAATTAATTCCATTGTTGGTATGTCAAACATCACTGTAGACTTTTTCTATCATTAAATCTAGAATGACACTTGAACGTAATAAGCGATGCATTAATTAAATACTTTTTACACACTGGTGGGTACTGAAGCAATACCTTCTTATTCTACTTTGGTTCTACTATTAAGACGTCATTCACTGCAACAATACTAGCAAAATACACAAGGACACACACAAACACACTGTCAAATACACAAACATACATTATATTCAGTAATATTTTTTCTATTATTCTTTATAATACTTGTCAGGGCTAAACAAATATGTGGTATATTTATAACAGGACTTTGATTTGTAGTACATTATACAGTATAATGAAAGTTTATTATCTTTAAGTTTTGTCATTTAGGCTTTTTGATATGTTGTCTACTTTTTTCCACTTCTAATTAGTGGTATTTTGATTCATTATCTATTATTATAAAGTATTAAATAAAGACAGTTAAATATCTAACTATTTAAAATAAATATTGAAACATATTCAGTATTTAAACTAATACACTTTGGAGATATGAGTTGATGAATTAAGCTCGTAAGCTTTAAATAAGTGTTATATTTTTGGTGATATTAGAAGACAATAGTGCTCTCACATTTTGGTACAGGTGACAGGTTTGAATCGGTGACTGTAAGGTACATGTTTTGATAAATTGTTGCATCAGTGAATTTGGATGAATGAAATAAAGTGAAATTTTTAACAGTAAAGGAGTACTTCACCCAGAATCAAAGTTCACACTGTTCTGCTTCACAGCCCAAATCCACCAAGGTCCGGGTGTGCTGTCACCTTGTGATAGAGGCTTTCAAATAAGAACAAGGTATAGTGTGAGCACAACTACAAGGTTTTATAAGAAACCTTTTAGTTAACTTTACTGGCAGTTTTTGCAAATTGACCTTGTTACAATCTTGCCTACAATATTGGGAAAAAATCCCTTTGCAATAATATATATATATATATATATATATATATAGTATTTCCTGTCCTGATCCTAAGAAATGACGACTTTTATAGAGATCTGTCTATCAGTACATTTACTGATACTGTGGAAACAGAAAGAGGCATAGCTACCAAGATACTGTCCATCTGTCATTTTTTCTTCTTTTCTTTCTTGCTCAAATTCTTAGCATGGCTGATATGTTTGCAGAAACATCTAATTTTATAGCTCAAGTCTAATTCTAAGTCTCAGATATTAAACGCTTACAGGTCAAATTAATCTATGCAAAAAATAATTTGACCAATTCTACAATAAATAAAATTAAGTCAAATTGATTCAAACATAAATAGTAATTTACAACTATTGATCCATAACAACTCTGACATTAAAAAAAGTTATGTATTAATGGGTGAAATACCTCTTTACTGTGTATATAATAGTCTCTCCGAGTTTTTTGTTTGTTTTTAGACTAAATGTGACTGAGCCTGTGTGTGTGTGTTTCTGGGATGGTACAGGGCCAGGATGATGAGCGGTGGCGTCAGAATGAGGTGAACAGGGAGGAATGAGTCAGGATTAGAATGAGAGTTAGAATGAGTTAGATGAATCTGGGTTAGCCTTTCCCTTCACTCCTGCTATTTAAACACAAACACACACACGAGGTGTCAAAGGCACAGGATGTAAGTGAAGCACAAATAAACTCCACAGAGAACAAAAAACAGAAAGACAACACACTGCACAGCACGCTACTCACTTTACCACTGTACACACACAGACACACACACACATACACACACACACAGACAACACTGCACTCATGTTGAAATACAGATGAGGACACACACTTTTGGCTCACAGGTGAGCCTCACATGTACAGAAATATATCACACACACCCAAACTGATACACAAACACACCTCACAGCAATATCCCTGCTGGCAGATAACGTTCAGACAGTGTTAACAGTGACTCTGCCGTCAGACTTGGGCAAAACATTTATGAAAATCGAATAAAATTTGGGATGTAGGTTTATTTTAACGTCATCATTTCATTAAAAGACTTTCTTTTACTTTTACACGAGTTAATTGAACAAAAATCCTAACATTCTTTACTAAACAACAGAAAAAAGGTGTAAAAACTAGATAGATAAACACGGCGGTATTTTGCCCATGAATGAAAGACATCAAGTCACAGCAACATTGTACGTTAAACATTATGTGCTACACAGCTGACCAAGTGTTACAGCACAGCATTAAACAACACGCCATTTATTTTACAGTAAAATTAAAAAAAAACATTTGTTTGTTAATATAGCATTAAAAACAAGACTGAAATCATCCATTGAACAGAGAAAACATTTTACACTGAAGAAAACTTCATACATTGAAAGCATGCCATGCACATACAGATGTCAGAATCAGAAACAGCAAATTTATTATGTTCAGGAAACTGCTCACTCACAAGTCTCAGTCACTGTACAGACAACAATCTTCCTGACTTGACCTGGGTAAAATAGAAGATATTTTGTCATATCTAAAGTATTAAAATGCCTAGTTTATCTTGCAAGGCACTTCAAACACTTCTAGTCTAAAAACCAAACATTCATACACATAAATTCCTTGCAAGCAGAAGTAAATAAAGTGATTTTCTTTCTTTGAATACTAACAAATTCAGCCAATATTACCTAAAGCCCAGGTCTGAAACACACTCATGCCCCCACACACACATACACACATACACACACACAAACACACAAACAGATACTGTAACAGCAAAGCATGCGGCATGCACATGCACAAACTGTAGTACACACACAGAGCTGGATTGAGAGAGGAGGAGGAGGAGGAGAGGGTCCCAGCTCGACTGAACGAGGGAGGAGCGCGGGAAAATAAGATGACAAGAGAGGAGGAGGAGGCCCAGAGGTCAACATGAGGTCATATGAGGTCAGAGGTCGGACAGGAAGAGCTGTGAGGAAGAAGAGCAGGAGAGGGGGGGAGGAGGAGGAGGAGCAGGGCGGCTGCGCAGCAGATATGACATGTCATAGGCTTAGAGAGACAGACTGAAAGTAGGACAGAGAGAGATATTGTCCTGAGCCAAAGACAAAAGTCCAAGACCGCAAGGACATTGTTACAATGTCTGCTGTCAATCAAACTTAGTGACAGGAGAGATTTTGTCTTGTTCTCAGAGAGAGAAAGAGAAAGACAGACAGAAAGAAAGAAGGAGAGATAGAAACAAGGTATGAAGGCCCAGAACACACTATCATTTGTGTGCTAGCGCCACTTTTGACTAGTGTAGCCATCCCAGGCACACACAAACGTTTGCACACACACATACTGTATGTATGTATGCACACACTCACACAGACACACATGTATTCTAAACAAACTCAAAAACCCTTAACTTCAGGAATTAAAATGTAAATAAGTGTCAGCCTGTTTGGCCTTAAAAAAATGTCTCAGTTAACTTCTTAAAATCCGGTCGGTAACAGCAAAAGGGCGTTATCCTCGTTTCTCATATTAAGTAAGAACAATAAGAACCATCATGTCCCGGGCTCAAGTATGAGGTGTGAAAAATTGTAACTGAAAAAGAAAATGACTTGTGTCCCGGTGAGGAATGCACACAGGCGGTGTTAGTGCATGCTGCAAAAGGCCGGGGTTCATGGTGGGAAAATGACACCATTCCTCAGACCTCAAAAACATCATCTGAGATTCATCATCATCATCATCATCATCATCATCATCATCATCATGTCATGAGCAGCAAACCACCATGCAGCTCGAGTTCAACTTCAACTTACCCCTTCTGAAAAACGGGGGTCTAATAACTCGTGGCTTGTGCACTAGCCGCGGTGGCCTTGTGTCCGTGACCTCTTGTGGAGCAACAGAGACAAGGTAAGTTACCCAGACTCAAAGGGCAACAGGGAGGTTTTCAGAGGTGGAAAGTAAATGAGAACAACAGCTCACCCTATTGTGCTAAAATGTTTGTCTCAGATTATTTATTAGTGCGGACTATACCAGCTGTTGTGACCAATACATTAGTTTACGGAAAAAAAGCACTTAAATTCTGGAGTAATAATTGTGAAAGAAAAGCGTATAATCATTGTATCTAATCAATATACAGAAGTTATTTGTTTTTTCAGTGAATATTCTGTATCTTATAAAAGATTTTTATCCACTGAATTCCTATTCCTTATGAATATATGTCTCTGCAAAAAGTTATATAGTAACTGAGCCCTTCCAAATTCAGCTTCAGCAGGAAATTCCTGTAAACTTTCCATTTCTGATCATTACAGATCATTATGGGACAATCAAACAACCTTTACACTCGGCCTCACCATGAATATGAATCTTATCTTATATTCACCCTCAAAACTTTATTAACAATCAAAACTTCAGACATTTTTGAAGGATATCTTGAATGGAAGAGTTTCAAATCAACAAATGGATTTACAACTTGCTACAGAAAAAAAGTGAAATTATCTAACCTTGATGATATGTTGCTTTAAGGTAACTACTGTAAGATTAAATCACTTACATGCATTCTATATGTAGTGGAGTAATTCGCTGTTCGTTGATAAAGATACTGATTTGAATGTCGAATGTCTTGTGTGGTGTTGGATGTGTTTGTGTATGCTTACCATTGAGGACACTGGGGGACAGCAGGGAGGAGTCGCGGTCGCTAAGTCGACAGGCGCCCTCCTCCAAAGACCCAGGTGCCGGCTGTGGAGCCTGACCCTCCAGAGAGGTCACAATGTCTGCACGATCAATGTTTTTCAGAGCGGTGTACAGGCTCTCCACTGGGAGGGAAACACATGGGAGGTGGGAGACGGAAGGAAGGACGGGAAAGTCAAGAAAGACAAGAAGTTAGAGAGTATTTTAGAACCAGAGTCAAAAAGTAGGGTTTACCTGACAATTAAATAGCCAAAAAAAGAGCTGGATAATTTTATTATGTGATGCCAGATTCGCCTGTGATCCAAATGATATGACCTTGTCTTGACTTACTCTTGGCTCTTCTGCCTTCTCTGCTGGCCCACAGGCTGAGCAGAGCAGAGCTTTGGTCCAGCAGAGAGTTGGGATTCTCCACACGGATCCTATTGATGTCATCCACGCCAAACTGAAGCTCACGTGCCAACTCTGACAAATAGACAAGTCGAGTAGATAAACAGGGTAATAGACACAGAAACACACAGATGCAGTGGATGGATGGCTATTCTGGTCGATTAAATGACTAACCTGCCCAGCTCAAACCCAGCTGTTCAGATATGATGTTGATCTTGATCTCAGTCCTCTCCATGGCATTCACTGTGGCTAAAGAGAAAAGAAAAATGCCAGTGTTACCAGGACAAATAAGTGTACATTTACAGGAAATTACACTGTGACTCTGGCTCTAATGATAAAAAATATAGATTATGTATAAGTCACAAATTATATCAGGGGTTAATGCTGGGACTTAGTGGACAGATAACCTCAACTTGAACTATCCAAATGTGTTTTACAGTGGAATCCTGAGACATTGGGAAATTCATTTTCACTTTCTGTGTCTTAAAAGACTTGTTGACTGGAGCTGCTATTATGATTATTAATAGCAATACTTACCTTGATAAAAGCATTGCTCTGTTGAAGGAAATAAGCAATACCCACAACATTGTTTTTGTCCAAATAATCTTCAGGGTAAGCACACCATACGGATAAAGGGTCAGAATTTGGGGTTCATTCAGGTGCTAGTCCCACCAATCAAAGTAGCATTCAGTAACCATTATAGAGGGACTGAGGTGCAATGTAGCAGCGCTGTGTTTTTGATAGACAGAAAAGGCCTTTTCCCTTCAACCACCCCACCATCAGCAACATTTAAACCAACCAGAACTGCCATCTTGACTCTGTTCATTTACCACAGGCCAATCAGTTATAAGGACTCCTCTGTCTAGCTCCACTGCGAGGTCCTGCCCATTCCCAGTGCTAAGCTACAGTGCTAATGCTAACAGTACCTGCTGCCATGCCATTGGAAATCGCAGTGGAGACACCAGCGCCATGCAAACCAATCACAGAAGTCATTCATCTGTTGTCATAGCTACCAGGACACTCAGGAAAGAAAAGGGCTAGTTTGCCATGTGCCGTGGAGCCATTTTGGGTCATGTTGGGGAACTGCTGCTCATCTTTTTGTCGCACATTCAATATGATTTCTGTCAACTGCACTGCAAAGAACTCTGGGGGCATACTGTAGAGCAGTGCATTGCATCCAAGGTTCAGTCTTTGTGCCATGCGTGCACGCGAGACAGATAGGGGGAAATAGAGAGAGGGCAGAGTGGGAAGCGAAGGGTTGTGGGTAAAGGGACAGTGCAACATTCAGTGCCCGTCTCCACTGTTTATAAATCAGGAGAGGGCTGAAGGTCAGGCAGTGAAAGACTCACCCACACCAGGCTCGTTCAGCGCACTGTAGCGTTCCCTCAGGGCGAGGGGGGTTAAAGTTCGTCTGCGCTCCTCACTCCCGACAACCTAAAAAATAAAAACAACAAAACTACATTAGAATTACATCATAATTATTGTCTGAAGTGTCATTATTTTAGCACACTTTAACTTATGAACAACCACTGTTTGGCCTGCAGGACATTATCACTATGTAGAGCTGGTACAGTGACACATTACATGAATATATTATTATTTTTGTATTAATAGTCATTGTGATCATTTTCAAAAGAATGTTGTGTCATAAGAATATACGAGTGAAACCTTAGAAATATGCAGTCTCCCTATCTTTAATGGTAGGTCTATAAATCCAACAACGTAATAAATCTTTGAGTCTAATGATACCAAAATATTCCATTTGTTTTCAGTTAGGTGAACCGCTTCAATAAGGGGGAAGGTGTTAAAGGGGTAAAATGTTGCTGCAAACTATTTATTTCTTTAAGCTGAATTTAAATTCCGTGCATAGAAGTCGTGTGCGAACACTTCATTTATGTTTTTGTAAATGAAAATGTGCTGCATATACGCAGCAGCAGCATTTATTTAGCTTGGAGATAAACTTCTTATTCCAAGAATGTCACGTACCCAGACCCCTGTGTCATCATGCACATGGACAGCTGAGGAACCACAAAGGTTTGTGTATGTGTACTTGCTGGGGGGTGTTTGCAAAAAAGTCCTTACCTTGACACATGGTGGCATGGTTATGTTAAGGTTACACAGTACATGCTGTGTGTCCTCGTACTTGGTGCATTTCCGCAGAAAGGACAAAAACCCAGCGGCTTCCTTGTTACTATCTCTGACCTAACACAGAGAGTTGACAGACAGAGAGAAGAAGAGAAAGAGAGAGAGAAGAAGAAGATATGGAGAGAGAAAATGGTGGAAAAAGAAACCAGATAGAGGAATGGAAGAGAGAGTGGTGAACAAAAGGAGTAAGTAAAGAGGAAATGAAGGAGGTGACAAAAAAGACAGAACACAGAAAAGAAGAGAATGAAACGAGATAGAGAGAGAGAGAGAGAGGAGGAAGAAAAACAGATCAAAACGGGTATTAGATCCCTCCACAATGTCTAGAGCATGTGGCGCAGTAACATGGGACGAGAAGCAGGGGGAAACAGGGATGGAAGCAGTCCACAGGCAGGCGAGAGGGAGAGATTTACCTGCACATTTTACCTGGACGTCTGTCAGACCAGACAGTTACAGAGTGACCGCGAGAGAGAGAAAGAGAGACAGTGAGACAGACACGTACAGACAGGCAAGGCCGCAAGATTGGAAGGCAGGCAAAGAAAGTGAGGGAGTCACAGGACATGCAAACAATTACCCAAGAGAGTCGACAGGTAGACAGGTAAGTTGTTTGTTGCTTGGTTACACCATAATGAAAAGATATTTATCAAAGTATTTATCTAGCTGATACCAAACACGAGTGTGTGTCACACTAACTGCCAAATAGATGGATTACAAAAAAAATTAACAGAAGACAATAAAAGAATTATATGAATATGATAGACAGACATGAAAAAGGCACACACAGTATGAAGTCTGTGCAGGAGAGGAGGTTTAAACATCAATAGAATGCAGAAGGGCAAGAAGAGACAAGAAATGACTGACAATTATGATCAGAAAGAAGGACTGATTTTACAGTGATGCATCTGTGACCAAAGGGACATACTGTGTAACATTATTACATATTAGGGAGGTGTTTCTTATTACACATACACAAAAGGAAAAAGAAAAAGAACCAAATAAATCTGGGACAGATTTGGACAATGTTTAACTTGTCATTTGTTTAGAAAGAGTGAACACATTTTGACAATCACAAACAAGAATGGACTGACTGACAGACATACACAGATAAGAGAGAAATGCATCAATATATCTAAAATGACCAATAACAATTATCCTTATTAATATACCTTCATTAATATATAGTGAAATTCATATTATTTCTTAACCTCAAAGGCCCAGTGTGTAACATTTAGAAGGATCTATTGGCAGAAATGGAATTTCAGATCATGTATGGTATCATTAGTAATCACCTGAAAACAAGAATCATTGTGCTTTTTTTACTTAGAATGAGAATTTTTTTATCTGCAGAGGGAGCGGCCTCTTCTAGAGTCTGCCATGTTGAACCGCCATGTTTCTACAATAACCCAGAATGGACGAACCAAACACTGGTTCAAGACAGGGCTTTGTGGCCATTAGTTTCTCCTACATGCTTGTAACAAGTTGAGGACGTTGCAGTCAGCTGCTTCACTAAATCCTATACACTGGACCTTTAAAATTACACTTAAAGTGAAATTATGTTATTAGTCTTTTCAAATTTCACAGTTTTTCAGGTGTAACTTTCTTGGTGTGGTGTTGCTGTGGTCCTGAATGAGTGCTGCACTGTTACCTTAACTTTTACATGCTAATGGTGAGACACAGTGAGAGATTGCCTGACAGATATGACAGTGAAAAGCAAACACACAAAAACCACTGTATGAACAGGTTGTTTGGGTGATCAGCAGGTGGAGGCTTAGGATGGAAACTGACTAACTGGCGAGGAGGATCCTTGAGACACTGAATCCAACAACTGTGCGAACAATACCACAGTACACTATGAATACGTAGCGAGTGATAGAAAAGCAAGCATATGAATAGTCAGATGGAGACAGACCTTGACAGAGACAGGCAGCCTGTTATCTCTGAAGGCCTGGAAGCTGAAGCTGCGAGGCTGCTGAGTGGCCTTCCTGATGGGTACAAGGTTCCCAGAACACTCAAGATGCAGCGGCATGCCCTCCATCAGCTGTGGAGAGTTTCACAAAATGTTAAGGGTGACAAGATAAATCGTAACTGTGAGAGAATTTGAGAGGGATTTGACTTTTGTACAACAGCCACAGTGTGGATCGATATAAGACACAAGCAAGTACTCCTCTGTGCTGCAGAAAACACTCTACTTGGAGGATTAAGCCTCCCATAATGGGGAGGTTTTGGGAGCAAAGCCAGTAAAAAATGCATCTTTCTTACATTGCCTCTTCTAATTCATAAACTAAATATGACTTTTGAGTAGCCACAATTACATTTGTATTATATAAATTGGTATTTTGGTAATTGGTAATTATGTGAAAATTATTTGCATTGTCTGGGAGCTACGTTTGAGGTTGCCATGACTCCTACTGCTCTCCGTAACAGCTTTCCCTTTTGTGAACCTGGCAGCATTTTCCTTTGCCCCTGTGCTGACCTCAATGTCTCGACTGCGGGCCACTTCGGTGAAGTTTTCGTGCAGCTCCAGTGTTTTGTCCATCTTGTCGTCTGTCATGCAGTAACAACGCAAGCGTCCCTCGCGCGCCTCATTCATCTTGGCGAAAATAACAAACTTGGCCATATATGGAACAGACATCAGCTCCCGGTACAGCAAATTGGCAAAGGTCACTGCCTCTGCCGTGCGTGGACAGTCCGCCAGCCAGAATCTGGATAAGAGAAAAGAGAAGGTTGAAAGTGGAAAGATGCAAACTTGATTCAGAAGTGTGCAAGAGAGCAGGGAAGGAACGCTAACTGGTAATACATTTGTCCTGATTAATGCTGAAGCGCTCACCTTGCAGAAACATTGGTGGTAAAGTTGGCACAGTTGTTGGCGTACATCAGCTTAGTGGTTCCAGTGATATCCTCCCACTGAGCTGGTGCTGTGCCACCTTACGCACAATAACAACACTGTGTCATTCATGTCCTGATAACCAAGGTAACATATGCCTACATACAACCTTTTACAGTAAATATGTTGTATGTTACATCTAAATTTAATGAACTGGATCCTACCAATGACACTGCAGAGGAGGCGCAGGCTGGTGGTATCACCCTCCCCAGCATCCCGAGGACTCTCCCTCCAGGATGGTGGCAAAGGGATGCGCAACCCGATTGGACGGTGAAATTTGCGTCGGCGTGGCTCGATGGTAACCACTGGGCTGAAGGTCGCCTGGTTACCAAGATGCCGAGTCAGCAGTTCATCAGGGATTGGCTGCGCCTGAGTTGGAAGTGGTGGGGGGGGAAAGGTAATTAAAAAAGGAGGGTGTGAGAACAGACACTTTAAAGAATATGGAGTTTAAAAGGCTGGTTACACAAAATATGTGAAAGACAAACTCAAGCACAAACAGAAGGGTAGTGAAGAGGCAGGAAATAGAAATAAGGGTAAGGGGGGTGGGGGCAAAAACAAAACAGAGCAACACATGTGCAATAGACTGAAACATCAAACTCACAGCCATACTCACACATGCAACCAATTCATATTTCACACCTGACCCAAATCAGACCAGTGCATCAGCTCAGTCAGTGTGGCTCACAACTTAAATCAGGGAACTGAGGAGTGATGAATGGCTGGATAAAAGGAAAACATAAACAGAGCAGCATAAGGCAAAGCAAAACTCATGCAATTTCCTTAAATAGCATCAGTGCTGTGACAGACAATGTAAACAATAAACACTGAAGTGACCAAAATGAAATGTAGAACCCATAATCCGTCGTAATCGTTCTGTTGTGAAAAATAAAACCAAGCGGAGGTGTCGTGTGAAAAGAGATAGTCAGCATGAGTGTTTGCCAAGTCCCCATATGTGTGTCTGTGGAGGTCTGGATGAGTGACAGTCAGCCACCCATTTGCCAAAGCTCCGGTTTGGGAGGACAGACACCACGTGTTGCAAATGCTAATTTAGAAACAGTGCAGTGGTGTGACAGGGAGGTCATGTCGCCTAGTTCTTGGCAGCAGTATATGCAGGGCGATGCAAACTTTATATCATATGCTATCTTAAATACCCTGAAAACATATTTTCTCACTCAGTGTTTTATCTGTCAGTGATGGGCTCCAACATGGCCGCACAGCTTGTGTTGCCGAAGTTAGAACAGTTCTGGTTATTTCAGTGATAATCATGCATTTCTGTTCTTGTCCTTGCTTTTCTTACTGGCTTGGGGATCCACTTGAAAGAGGTGATGTGATATAATACTTCCCTGCACCAATCAGAGTTTAGAATCTAAATCTGTTGTGTGTTTGTTTGTTTGTTTTTAGGAGTGTTTTTGAAAATCTTACTTACAACCATGCACGTTTTACATTATTGCTGAACAGTTTCTAGGTCATAATGCTTTAGATTCTTAATATTTTCTTCATATCTTTAAGGTAGCTGTTGTTTTCAGTTCAGTTTCAGTAAAAGAAGATTTGGTGTTAACTGTAATTAAACAAATGGAAACCAATGACTACCAGAGATGTACAGCAGGTGAATTACATCTGAAAAAAATTAACAGACACAGTTTGCAGTAAATGGGAAACAACGAGCAAAAAATGGCAATGGTTCATGAACTTCCTTCAAACATCAACATTCACAATAATAAGTGAATAAAGTATCTGTCTGCAGTCAAGCAGTACAGCATGCACTTTCACTCTCAATGACTAATGCACAACTCTTACATATTCACGCTCATTTGTCAAACAGACAGAACATCAACTTCAGGATGTGACATCTGTCAAAACTCAACTCAAAGAGGCTGAATGCAGCACAAACAGAAATGCCACAGGTAAACACATTGGCATAGACCATTTAGTCACAGAGTCAGCAGTTTTGTAATTCAAACATCTGTCCTCAGTATATCTAAAAAACACCAGATTGTCTCTGTTGGACAAGCTAAATAAACTCAGAGCAATTATGAAGGATCTGCATAAGATCTATTCTCATGTTTCTCATATGTGCAAATCACTTTCCTCTTCATCAGTCCTGCTCACTCTAAGCTCTCTCCCTCTACTGTATTTCAGCTCACATTCCCTCTCCTTACCTGCAGTCCCAGTCTCACTCTCTTGGTGACAGCCGTCTCTGGGAAGATGGCCTCGACGTGGGGCACAAGCTTACTGGTCAGCCGGCCGCCTTCTGGGCCAATCAGATCACTCTCTTGCTGAATGCGGGAGACCACAGCGAAGTAGAGGGGGAAGTCGGTGGAGATGATCCGACGAATTCTCTTCTTCTCCAGCTCGTCCTGACTCTCCAAGTCTAGACCCAGGATGGAGTGAAGAGAGAGAAAGTTTTTGTATCTTACATCTGTCCAAGTGAGAGAGATTATTATGAAGATTAAGATTAAGACTTATCTGCAACCGTAAAAGGACTCACGAACACGCATTCATTACCATCACACTGACCTTCATCCATGCCATTCAGAATGGTTTCCAGCACTTCGTCACCATAGCGATTGCGATGTTCCTTCCAGACCGAGCCATTTTCACTGCGGAGGACCACCAGCTCCCGGTCCCCTCGGCCTAGTGACGCAAAGTGGGGGATTTCCACTATTACAGGCCTGTGAAAGAAATAAAAAAGCTGTGTTTAAAATCTGGTTTTGAATCAGATTTCAGGATTTTACTTTAATCCAATGTACAGAACATCATGAAATCACAGAAGAAATAAATTACAAAATTTGAAAAAGCAATAATATCCAATTTTGTTGTCCAGCATTACTGTTACTAGGACTATACTAGAGTTATGCAGACCTATTGATGTCCACTAGATGGCATAATAATCATTGGCTTGTCTGAACATGCTACCAACATAAATGCACAGATGGGCACAGACAAAAAGCTTGACAAGTAATTTTTACATGAACTTTTTTAAAGCTTGATGAATACAATAAACAAGTACAAAGCTGACTCACCCAAGAAACTGCATACTGGACGGCCCTAGGGAGATGATACGGCTAGCAAGGCCCTCCCCCTCCACCAGCGGAGGAGGCGTGGTCAGTTTCTGAGGTTTGACCAGGCGGCAGGTGATGCGTGTTGGGGCAGTGCAGGTTCGAGGAGGAATGATAACTCGCAGGCCGTGGTGTCTGCTACCTCGCATGGAGCCTCCCCGAGCGTCCACCATGAAACTCACCAGAAAGCTGAGAGTCAAACAGTAATATGACGATTAAATGAAAAGGTTCAGATGACCACTTAATCATCTTTAAACTTTATGTGATTATGATCAAGTTGCATTTAGCAGTAAATCACAAACTATGGGAACATAAAATTTACCAGTCAATACTGGACTTTTTGTATTCTGCCCACGAAATCAGACAAAAAACCATGTGTGTTTTATTCAGCAGCAAAATCTGCTTTGTGCACGGTGATTCATAAAGGAGACACCAATCTGCTACGTGTGTGCCCTTTTCATTCATTTGTCTCAATATGGCAGGGGAGGACAGGCCATCTGGAGTGGATACTAGGTGCAGCAAAGAACGACATAAAAAGATTAAAAAAGAGCCCCATGTTTGATCCTACACTCAACAGGCAGCTTCATGCAGGTGTGTGTGTTTGGGAGAGAAAGGGAGACAGGGTGACTCTTTCCCCCAAACGCCCTCACTCTATATTCTGCTTTGCAAAGCTGACTCATTGTGCTGTGCATAAATTAAGACTTAGCATACTTAATGAATTATCCTTCTTTCTGATTTATTTATGTCATATACTATATCATTCCATTTACAATATAAATCCTGGGTTATATTGAATAGAACACAGTGCTACACATGTAATTATTTGTATATATTTTTCAGTGCAGTAGGAAGTGGGGTGGTGGGTGGAGTATCTGTAGTTCAATCTTGGCCACTCATCATCACTGATGTTTTGGCATCATTCATGCTTTGATGTGAGTGACACCAGTGATCATAACAAATGAGGTATGATTGAAGTGCAGCATTCTTAGTTGTGGAGTTTGTGAACATGCCTTCCCCCTTTGTCATACTAACATGGCAATTAGTATTTAATCAAAACAACACTTTTCAAGATTGCCTAATGCCCTGTCTTTCACACACTATACATGTGAGTCTATATTCAGAGAATCCTTTCACATATGTTCCCTTTTAATCCATCTCTGTTGTCCTTGTGTACTTTCTGTACTTCCAAAATACATTTGTAAGACTAGTAATCTCATGGGGTCGGCCAAAATCCCTCCTTTACCATAAACCTGACAAGCAACATCAATCAATAACATCATTTAACATAAATTAAATAAAAAAAAATAGGATTAACATGCAGCACAATGTATCATTAGCTGACCCAGTGTGAATGGGGCTGGCCACAGGGCTGACGTTGTCTGAAGTCTCTGTAGCCGGACTGCTTGGGATAAGAGAGTCTTCGTCATACTCCTTTGGCAAGGGGATGGGGGTGTGCTGAGGTCAGAGAGGGAGAAAAGAGACAGGCAGTGAAAAATTGAGAGGCAGTAAAATAACCATGGCTGAAAAGATTAAGATTAAGCGAGAGACAAAGGCGGGCAGGAATGACAGAGAAAAGGAGAGAGAGAGAGAGGAGAAGGTGATAACAAAAATACAGCAGAATAAAAGGAGTGAGAAAAGAGAGAAAATGATGGACAGAAACAGGCAGCGGGTACACCAGAAAAAGAGGCGACAATCTATTAGAAGCGATGGAGAGAAAACCAGAAACCAAAATAAGACATAAAAATAAACATCAAAATGCTTTTTAATACTGTAGGTATTTAACTTTTACAAATGAATGTGCCTTTAATTGGATAAGAAAGACATGCTTATAAAATGTAATGTACTCTAAACGTCATGAGTTTAAGCCTACCTGATCCAGTAATACAGTCTCTGGGGACACACAAGGGATCCTGGGAATAGCAGGAGAATATGGCCTGTGGGAGAGGAAGTGAGAATAATATACGACAGGAAAGCTGACAATTATACTATACTATATTATAGGACAGAGATATTGTAAATTATCTATGCCAGACATTCAATTACTTACTCAATCCCATTTTACATCTAACTTGAGTGCACAATGACTTACGTGGTACCCATGCCACCCTCAAAGTCTCTAAGTGTTTTCTTCGGGGAGAGGAAGTCATCGTCCTGGTCCTTGAAGTCATCAAGCTTCAAATAGCGTGCTCCATCCATCCCGAGCAACTCGTCTCCTGTGGGCAAAATGAAGAGGTAAGAAAGATGGAAAAGGAGCAAAGAGGAAAAAAACTGGCAAGATCAGGATTGCACATAAAGAATTAAGAGAGAAAAAGACGAGACCAGAGGAAAACAGGGCAAAATGATGCTGATCTCAACTCTCAAGTTCTTCCACTACAAATGTATGCTTTTTCAAATCAAGTACAAAAATCTGCCAATGCAATTCACCTTTTTTCCCCAATGGTATTTTGACTAGATTTGTTTTATTTTTTATGAGTGACATTATCTTAAATTGTGGTTGACGTCTCCACTTGAATCAAAATAATGTCACTTGGTTTAATTCTCCATAGATGAAAGCAGTTAGACCACCATCCTTCCCATCCCTTCACCTTCATGAAACCACAGAAAAAAATGGCCACAAAGCAATCTCAAATATTTTAGTCTAAGCAATGGAGTCAAACCAACAATAACCAGAGCCAATGGGAACCAAAGGAGTAAAAGAAGAGGATTGGTAAGACAGTGAATATTAACACAGTTTAGGACACTGCATGGACGGCAAACTGCAAGGCACCTGGTGACAGCTTTTTTAGTGAGCATGCCCATTAAAGATGAAATCACATGTGGTGATGGTTGTTTCTGTGTAGGAGAAAATACCTCAATTATTAAGGAGGAATGATTCCAAAATAATGATCATAACAACAATAGTAAACCATAAACCACTTCACAAAACAGAGCTGTTTACGGACAATTAAACATTCATTAGTACAAGCTGTACAGACAAAAATGTTAAAGAAGGAAAAAGCAATACAATTAAATAAGTACAACAAGAACAAAATAGATTAAAAATGGAGCTTGCATGTAAATGTTTCTTCAAAATGTTGTAAAAACTACATTTGATTTAATTCTGAATTTCTTTATGGCAGAAAGACGACTGCATAAACAGCAACTGTGCGTGCCGTTTGCCGAGTGTCACAGCTGGGGCACAGCATGTGTGTAATCAGCTTATTGATCAATTAGGCAGTAAATGGTAGGAGCACTCATTTTCAAAATGGCTAGATTGGAAGGGAGCTGTTTGCCTTTTAAAGGCAGAAATACTGGAGTTCTGTCAATAATGAGTCCACGAACAGATGCGCATTGAACGCTGGTAAAAGGAAAATGTTGTGACTACATGCTGATGAAAAACAGACAGATTTTTTTTAAATAAATCTCTAAGCAAGAGGGAGAGGAGGAGAGAATAAAGATAGAGAAGATAAAGATAGAGAAGAGCGAACAGGGCTGGAGTAGAGAGTCAGAGGAACTAATCAGGAAGACAATTAGTGACACACAGAAAATGAGAAAGTGCAATTGCAATGAAGGCACAAGTTCACTAGCCACCGGACTGGACAAGCCAGAGATACAGACACAATCCTACCTAAAGTTAGCTGGGCAACCCCTACAAAACAAATGGAAAAGGGTGTTATAAACAGTCATATATATATTTACATTCATGAGGGTACTTTGACGTGTCAGTGTACCTCCCATATGGGCTTCTTCTATCAAAATAATAAATCAGAGCTGAAAATTAATGATCAAAGCTGTACAGTTTATGTGTTTAACATAATCACATTGGATAACCTACCTTCATCCTCTGAAACATCCAAAATCTCATCCACTGTCTCAGGAAAACTCATCCGATGCTTCTCTGTAGTGATCTGTAAAGAGAAGAAGGAGGTTGCAAGAGAGAGAGATATGGCAGAGACAGAGGAAAGAGTGAAATGTAAAGAAAAGAGAGGAGAACAGATTGAAAATGCCTTATTATTGTATAAGCAGGCAAAGGAGCTGAACCTGATCAAGACAATTGTCTGGTTGAACATCTGAGTCAAGGCTACTTCTTTGCGTATTAGATGTAACCATGTGAACCATGTATGATGTGTTGCTCACCGCAGAGACCGACTCCTCGGTAACCAGTTTCAGCACATCAATGACAGAGATGTAACCAAGCCGCTTAGCAATACCCAGGGGAGATGTCCCATTCTACACAGAGAAAGACGAGAAACATTACGCAAAATATGAGATTTTTAGGTAAAATAAAATGCACTACATTGTAACTATAGAAGTTATTCTATAAAGAAGTCTCTTATTTTGACAGATAATTTCATAGTGTGATACCTTTTTTAATTATTGGTCAGAATACAGACACAAAGCATTAAATCAAAATGCAATTGAATGTAGGTAGGTTGTACAGTAGATTTTTCAGAAGAAACATTGAACTAATACACACACACACAAAGTAATTGCAACTCCACAGATGGCAAAAAAATACATATCTGGTACCTTAATAATGTTAATGTTATTTGGTGTTATTACAACTATGGCGACCCATGTACCAAGGAATCTAATATCAACAGAGGAAAATTATTCACATTACAAAAATATTATACAGTATCATAAGCATATAGAGATGAATAGAGACTGTAGACAAGGGGGTACTCATTGTATTGTACTCTTCATACATCATACCCATGTACCATTAGGCCTGTCACGATAACTAATTTTGCTGGACGATAAATTGTCCCAG